CAGTAATACGAAAATGTACAAAAGCTTTTTCGTTCTCGTTTTAGAACCACTTCATTTATGATAGTTGAGTATTTCTTACATACATCAACACATTCTTAATATTTCGTCTCCGCAAAAGCTTTGAGAAATTTAAAGATGTGTATTTTTAGAAGCTCTTAAATGTGTGCCTCAAAAGGCGCAGAGTTTGAATTTTTGCTTTTCCGCGAAACATTATCTTGTATTTTGAATTTATCAAGCTTGGTTCTCATATTTTATGAGTCCGTGGCGCAGTTGCCAAGGTATTGGCTTCAGCGTCGGGGGTCATGGGTTCGATGCCCACGCAAGACAAGTATTAGTGTGACTCACAGATAGTTGTTTCGCATCTGGGTGTTTGTCCGCGTAAAATTTATGTTTGTAAAACGTTCTTACAACGCAGGATATTGTTATCTTAAAGTACAACATGTTTTTACAAGACGCAAGAAGAGCTTTACTTTCAGACAGATGTAAGTCATACTTTTCTACACTAAGAAAATTATTTCTAGGGGTTGTTAAAACTCAAACCGTAACTAATTTAGATATGTATTTTATGGTGGTAGGGCAACGCAGCAGCCTCGGCTGTTGCATGAATGGGCATACACGTCCGGGTAAGTACCACGACCTCACAGAAGACCGTCGTAAAGTGTAAGTATAGTAGAGAGTACAAGGGTAATAATAATATAATATGGTTAGTAACATAATAATTAAACTCTCTTGTTGAGAGCTAATTTAACCATATTTATAAAATTTAATATTTCATCGCTCAGAAGGATCAATAAATTGATATTATGTGGACCAATTTGCTTTCGCAGTGAATCATTACGTTTACATCGCATCAATATATGATAGACATCTTCAATTTCATTACACACAGAGCAAGACGGTGAGGTAGTTTTTTCATAAGAAAAGCGAGAAACAATCTTACGTTTTCGAGGAGCTATTATGACACCACTGTTCGTTTCATATTTATACGTTAGTTTGCGCACACTAACGTTTAAAAATTACTGTTATTGTTAATTGTCTGAACATAACGTTAGTGAATCTAAATATCGCTTAGGCATAAAAAGGTGCACCGAAGGGATTTTAAATGCGTATATTGTACTCAATAGGGGGAAACGTAATCATCGCCTCCCCCTTTGGTAAATTCGTAATGAGTTCCGGAAGGCCGCCCAAGAGATCGATACATGCGCGACATTAGACTGATACTTTTGTGGAAGAAACCTTCGCGTGTATTATACCACGTTCTCAAACACATTCATAATAAGATAGAATTAAAAAATTAAATTGGGTTCGTAAACGCAGCGGGTCGTCTTATGTTCTGGTAACTGGCAGAATGAAACGAAAATCACATCAAGATAGAATATCTCCGTTTTGAAAAGGTCTCCTGGTGAATATCACCCGAAAATTTATTGAGGACATTACGAAGATAGATGACCGCTTATCACCACATTCCGGCGTCGGAAACCGACGCCAAGTGGCAACTATGCTGTCGCGTTTCGTTTGGTCTGTGAGAATCCCGGACGCCCTCTCCCTATTCCTCCCCCATAATGTCTGCGCGAAATTTGAATTTACTACCCCAGGAGGGTACCACCAGCGTACAGCGCGGTGTCCCTCTTTGGACGCCCACTCCTCCTGTAAGTTAGCATTACGCCGAAAGCGGGAATGCTACCAGGCTTGGGCCGACGCTTCGACGTCAAGTGATGTAAAAACCAGCGCTTTAAAAAAGAAGTTAAACTCTGGCTCTAGGTCCTTCAAAAGCGTTATTGCTAAAGCGAAATCGGAACACATTGGCAGAATTGGCGAGAGATTGGCGCGTCGCCCTACGGGAAAACGTGCGTTTTGATCTCTCGCCAAAGCTGTCTTGGGAAATTTCTGTACGCCTACTTTTCCACCCCTGCACAGATGACTCGCTGGCCCATGCCGCGAAGGAGAAAGCCGATCTTCTGGGCTCTCTTCGCGTCCAACTCGACTTTGGATGACCGAGGAAAATTAGCGTTGCGATGCTACGATGCCGGAGGTTCAATTTCGGCAGTAAGTGCAGTTCGCAGAGCACTGTTTTCCTTGGACATTCATAACTCGAGTGTGCCCGATGACATCCCTCCGATCGTGTTGAATAAATGTGCTCCGGAGTTGGCACCGGTTTCGACGCCTCTATTCCGGCTCTCCTATACTCTAGGCGTAGTCCCGAAATCCTGGAAAGCCAGTTTATTGCACCCGATCCCTAAGAAAGGCAAAAGCTCGGATCCGGCCTCAACTTCAGGCCTATAGCCATCACCTCCTTGTTCTCCAAGATAATTGAGACCATCGTTAACTGCCAGCTCCTGCGGTACCTAGACGAACACCAGCTAATTAGCGACCGCCAGTACGGCTTTCGTCGAGGTCGCTCAGCCGGTGATCTTCTAGTTTACCTGACAGATGGGCAGAAGCAGTTAAGAGAAAGGGGGGAGGCGCTTGCAGCCAGTCTGGGCATAGCGGAGGCCTTTGATCGGGTGTGGCACAAAGCAAATCTTTCGAAGTCGCCTTCCTATGGGCTTCCCGGGAAGTTATGCAATTGGATCACCAGCTTTTTGGCAGATCGGTGCATCAAGGTCGTCGTCAACGATGCATGCTGTGATCCTAAATTTGCCAATGCTGGTTTTCCACAAGGTTTGCGCGTTAACCGTTACAAAGTCCCCATTTGTCGTGACTTCTTATTTTGAGAACACTCCCCTGTCTGCCACAGCTAGTATCGGAATACTTGGCGTCGAAATCTCGAGCAATGTCCAGTTCCGCGGTCAATTGGAAAGTAAGGCCAAATTGGCCTCAAAGAAGGTCGGTGTGCTCAGCAAGGCGAGACAGTACTTCACGTCGGTTCAACGCCTAAACCTTTATAAGGCGCAAATTCGGCCCCACAGGGAGTACTGTTCTCACCTCTGGGCGGGGGCCGCTTGTTACCGGCTTCTTCCATTTGACCGCATCCAACGTAGGGTAGCTAGGTTTATCGACGATCAAGGTCTTTCCGATCGGTTTGATCTTTTGGCTGTGCTTAGAAAACTTGGATCACTCTGCATCTTCTACCGCATCTATCACGGGGAGTGTTCCGAGGAATTGTTTCGATTGATCCCATCGGACATCGCGCAAAAACCAAAAATTTTATCCACACCACCTCGATGTACAGTTTCTACAACAGCGCGATTTTCAAGGCATTTCCTGCCTCGCACAACCACTCTCTGGAACCAGCTGCCGCCGGTGGTCTTTCCGAATTGTCACGACCTGGGAACCTTCAAGAAGGGAGCATACTCCTTCCTAAAAGGCCGGCAACGCATTTGTAAGTCTGGTGTTGCAGATGCCCATGGGCTGCGGTGATCACTTACCATCAGGTGAGCCTCCTGCTCGTTTGCTGCTTTTTTTCCATAAAAATAAACCATTTCCCCCTTATGTTATGATCGTCTCGTCATTCAAAGGCTCAATTACGAATAAATATATTTAATAGCTCTTTATTGGGTCTTTTAGGTGCAGTGTTAATCTGAAAGGGTTGGACGAATGTTAAAATCAATGTATTATCTCAATGCAGTCTACAAAACTCGAATAGATTGGTTTCGATAACGGTTGAGGTATTAGATCCATAATCATATTTGTATGAAGCTCGTTGGGAAGGTCGTAACTAATACATTAAAAAACGACACACAACAAAGTAACTAATACATTAATATTTGGATATGTAGAAATAATTATTAAAATTATTTTAATTATTATATAAAAAATATTATAGAATAGAATTAATATAAAATACATGATCGGCCGCATTCTAATGTATCTACTTGTGCACTCGGCATTAGACAAACAATTCATAGCCACGAAGTCTACTCGTACAAACAACCGCTCCTTGCCAGCTAAATAAAGCGTGGATCGATTTGAAGCTTCATTTACAATTCCACTTAATGTTACACATACACATTTACAATTCCATTTATTATTCTCAGACATTATTAAGGCGATTTCAATTATATTAAAGCTTTAAAATTAAATATGTAGTTAAATAATTTCGTCTACTCGATTTGGGTTTTTATATATTTTGGGATTTTTATCTCGCCAGCGCTTGTTTATTCATGTTACATCATGGCCTAAGATACTAATATATTTTTAAAGAAATTTCTGATTTTCTGGGTGTCGTTTACTATTATTTGATCAAGAGAGTAGGACGACGGAATAGACCTTTGATTATTTACTGTTATACAGACGATGGTAAGCATGCAGTCGGTTAAAAACCTTTTCCGACAAGAATTTACAGCCCATTCTAAAATTGCACAGAGAAATTATTTTTCTATAAATGCTCATTTCAGCGTGAAAACGCACGAGATTTCTTTTCCTAGTTTCATGAAGATTAAGTTTGATTACTCCGTGGCGCAGTTGCCAAGGTATTGGCTTCGGCGTCGGGGGTCGTGGGTTTGATTCCCACACGGGACAACTATTTGTGTGACCCACAGATAGTTGTTTCGCATCTGGGTGTTTGTTCGCGTGAAATTTATGTTTGTAAAACGTCCTTACAACACAGGATAATATTATCCTAAAGTAAGGGCAGTGTTTTTTTAAATTTACATATACATTAACATTTACATTTTTAAAATGTAAATGTAAACTTTTCAACCGACTTCAACAAAGGAGGAGGTTCTCAATTCAACTGTTCGAACTTTTTTTATGTTTGTTACCTCAGAACTTTCGACTGAATCGATTTTGATGATTGTTTTTATTTGAAAGCTGGTGCTTCCCATTTCCCATATTAGTTCGTTCGTATTGGATCCTAGTCTCCGGAGATGCTTAGGGAACTCCTGAAAATCACTGATGACTTATTATGGTGAGTAAGGTAACCGGGACACACTATTTAAAGGTTGGCAACGCATCTGGAAAGCCGCGGACGCCTCGCATGGGTGGCAACAATCACATGAGATCACGTGGCATGCCTGTTCACTTGCCACCGTCTCACTTCTAAACATACCTTGTTACAGGACATCTGTGGCATCATCTGCGCGATTCTAACATGGCTGCTTATACTATACGCTGAGTTTGTCGTGATGATGGTGATGCTCCTGCCGGGTGTAGCAACTTACCCATTCTACAGCTACGTGAACATCGTCCTGTTCCAAACGCTGGCGTTCCTGGCATTTGCTTCACATCTTAGAACAATGTTCACCGATCCGGTAAGTTGTATTTTTGTAAATAATGTGGTATAACATATAACAGTAATAGCATATTGATGTCCGAGTAAATTGTTACTCGGGCATCGGACATAATTAGTATATTATAATTATATACATAAACGTAACGTTAAACTTAAAACGCTATGCACTGTTTAACAAACCACATGCATCAACCGAACTAGAATTTGATGTTAATTTCTGTTGAAACTAAAAAGTATTAGAAATCAACCGTAAAAGAAAATGAAACTTATACCAATTACCCTACACGATAAACTGTAATAATTATGGTGCAAAGAACTGCGCATATGTTTTATTTGCATTAAAAAAAAAAAGACCGGTCTAAGCGATGCAGCTCTTTGTTACTAGGGAGCAGTACCGAAGGGCAACGCCACAAAGGAGATGATAAAGCAGATGAGCTTCCGCGAGGGCCAGGTGATCTTCAAGTGCACGAAATGCTGCAGCATCAAGCCGGAGCGGGCGCACCACTGCTCGGTGTGCCAGCGCTGCATCAGGAAGATGGACCACCACTGCCCGTGGGTGAACAACTGCGTGGGCGAGAACAATCAGAAGTATTTTGTGCTGTTCACTGTAAGTAAAAAAAAGCGATACAAAGATTGAAATTAGGAAAATATAATATATTAGAAGATTTAATTACAGGGACATAATTATTTCAGCTTTTATCCTACTTAGGACACCACTGCGTTGCACGATGTTTGTCGTGTAGCGACGATCTTTCAAGCATCGCATCAATGTAGGTAACAAAGGTACTAAAGTATCAAGGACCTACCGAGACCCTAAAGAAATGTTGAATTTTTTTTCTATCCATCGCCAAGATAAAAAATGAAGAGTAGGAAAATAATAAATGTAATTTCAAATTTATTCCATGACAGGCTCAACAAAAAATTGCCTCCGGGTGGAATCGAACCCGCGACCGACCCGCGATCCTATCGTACACAGAGGATCGACCAATCCCACCTCTCCGCCCATATTCATGTTTGAATAGATGAAATAGTTGGAATAATGGAATATTAATAGTCTAATAAACCACCAATCGACGTAGTCTGACGGATCTAGTCAGCTCACTATGCTCGCTCACAGTATCGCCGATGAAAATCCAATCCTGCACTTATCGCCGGTCGCTGGATCGACGAGGCCGTGCCGACGCCGAGAGCGGCGCCAACAGGCCCCCGGTTCCGGCGGCCCCTCCTCACCCGCGCGTCCGTTTCGTTCTCGCTTCCAGTTCTACATAGCCGCCATCTCGGTGCACTCGCTGACGCTCTCCGTGTACCAGTTCGTGACGTGCATCCGGCACGAGTGGCGCGACTGCAGCGCGTACTCGCCCCCCGCCACCGTGGTGCTGCTGCTGTTCCTGATCGCGGAGGCGCTGCTCTTCGCCATATTCACCGCGGTGATGCTCGGCACGCAGCTGCACGCGATATGGAACGACGAGACCGTGAGTGGCCGCCACCGCGATCCGGCCACGTGTGCCGCCCCGGCCCGACTGCTCGGGCCCGTGCGCACACGTCTCGGGTCGTGTGCCCGTGTGCGTGCGCGCGCGTGTGTGTGAAGCACCGTTCGGCGGTAGTTCACGTTGCCGTGGCGAGTGCACTGACGCCGCTGTGTTCGACGCGAGATTGCGTGGCGCGTGGGAAGTGAGACTGGTTGCGTTTACGTTAAGATGTCAGTCGACTAGTATGTCTCTCGCAGTCGAGGGGAACGAAAGCAATGCTAAGTCAGCAATCGATATGTATAAATTTCGTTATGGGCAGGAACTCCACCCCGATAAGGGCCGCTGAATGCTCACGTGAACCGATAATTGTCTGTCACACGGCAACCCGATAACGGCTGACGGTCAATGTATTTCCCGTGTTCTGCCTTAGTAGCCCCGTTACTAATAAACGCGCGGCGGAAAGCCGTGCCGCCCGAGCTAGGGCGTGGCCCTATTCCCGAGCGGGGCGAAGGCCGACCCGCCAAGGGACTCCCCTAGAACACGGCTCGCGGCGTCCACTTGGCCGCGCCGCCGCCGCCCCCAACGCTCCAGAATATTGTAACTGGCATCGCCATACCTGGACGGCACGCTATATACGTGCCTGAAAGGGTAGCTAAAACTCAAGTTTTCAAATGCATACTATATGTACCTTTTGTGTAAATGTATCCATTTTTGATTTTTTTTATATCCCCCATTTCGATAAATAACGTAAAAGATTTCTATGTGTGTATCTTGTGATTTATTCGGTGTGAGGATGCTCGGTGTTTATTTTTTCTTTTCGCTTTTACTAGTGCTTCTATTTTCGCCTTTCTTCTATTGTGATTTGAAGGGTGACAACTTGATCGTAAATCGTGTAATGGTTTGTATTACCATCAGGTGCAGCTCGCTTATTATTGATAATATCAGAAGCAAGAATATTATATATTTGTATAGTTAATCACACTTAAACATTTTTATAGCTGAGCGCGCGACACTAATATTCTTAGCACCGAAACGTATTGCTTATCTCGCTTGATTGATTACTTTTCATTCAATCTAATAGTAAATTTCGGTCGTTCAATTGGCTTTGTTAGTATGTGCTTACGATGTGGGCTGCGCACATGTAATATTCATCTCATCCAATTCATTCTAGTGAGACGGGTCATCCTCATAGACGCCATGGATGTCCATATATTCTAGATTTTTCCTCCGATTTGAATACTTCGCTTAAGTTCAGTCCAGAAACACTTTTTTTGCAGACCAGACGCAGCCGTAAAAAGTAGCTTGGCTCGCTTGGTTTCGGTGTTCAGAATACGGACGCCGTAAATAAAATGTGGATCCTTTCGATTCCGTCTTGCATGCAAGTTTCAAGTCGTGAATGCTATATATGTGCTCAAATTTTGTTCGGCTATCATTTATTGATGTGATGGCTTTGGCTTTTCCTGCAATATAATTAGAAAACAATTCCGTATAGCAATTAAATCGAGAGCATTAAGGAGCAACAAGTTCCACTCAAATAGAAATCTTGTCAGAAACCAGAGCTCGTAGCGAAAAGTAAACTTTCGAGTGTCCTTTGTAGAAGTTCCAGTTCCGTCATATATCGTCGCCCGTCTCAAATTACAGGGCATAGAGCAGTTGAAGAAGGAGCAGGCGCGCTGGGTGCGGAAGTCGCGTTGGAAGAGCATACAGGCGGTTTTCGGACGCTTCTCTATACTGTGGTTCTCGCCTTTCACCCAGCCCTCGCCGAAGACCAAGCTGGAGAGCTACCTGTACAGCGTGTAGAGCGTACCGGCTTTTCAAGCCGTACCAGACGTACCAGCCGTACCAGCCGTACCAGTCGGCCGTACCGCGTCGGTCGCCACATCAACGCCACTCGGCCACTATATCAACACGAAACAATACTCATTTTAAATTATTCCACGTTTTCATATGTCGTTTGGACGTTTCGCTTAGTTGCGCACACGACTCACGTTCGACTGACATCGAAATATCATGCGCTTAGATAACTATTGATGTACAAATGCATTTATCGATTCTCTATACGGCTTATGTCCCGAGATAGCATGTTTACGGTGTAGTCAATCGATGTATAAATATTACATTATACTATATACATTCTCTATGTTTACAGTAGTGCCTTATATACAATCGTTGTCGTTAGAGCCGGGCTGCCGTGATATTTGAACGCCTTCGGACCTCTCGCTCGCACTTGAGGATCGTGTACTGTTTCCCATTCACCTCAGAGCAATTCGGATATCAGAGATTTGCATAATAAAACAGAAAATTTTGCACCAAAATGTTCAGTGGAAATAGTTGTTTATTCCGCAAACACGATGAGCTTTGTCAACTCACAAGGCAGTGGGTAAAAATTTTTTTCGCGAGCAACTTTTATTTATTCCACTTGGCTGCATTAAACATTCCATACGGTCACATGCACGGGGGGCCTTAAAGATTCTATATCGCATGGTCAAATGCCACTACATATTAATTGCGTTGTGTATCTACATATTAATATGACTGTTCTCCTGATCGAGTACATTGCGATTAAAAGCGGCCTTAATTCGGTACACTGCAGAAACAAGACTATAAGAATGTTGGAATAAAAAACGATAATCGATCTGAAATTTCTCTGTTTTTATTAGCTGTGTGCGGGAGGTCGATTAGTAGCAGCGTTGGCTTATCATCGAGCCAATCAAAGGGGGCCTCGTCCCCCAATATATTGTTACAGCAAGCTTTTATTAAACTTAATAGGCTGCTAGATGATAGTGAAATAATAGTTCAAATTTGCTTATGTTTAACGTTCTCGGGGCACAAACGTAGAATGAATCTTATTGTAACGATCATGTGTGTTAAATGTTTAAACATTGAATTTACAATCGAAGTGTTTAACTCTACGATATCGGATTTGCGATCGTTTCCTTTGTTTTTATCAATTGTATGGCGGCGAGGAGTCCCGATATATTGAAAGATTAAACTACGATTAAATGTTAAAGCGACGTCTATGTTAGGGTTTTCCCCTGAATCGACGCTACGCAACCAGGTAAGGGGGCTTCAAATATATCTACATGCTCCACTGAGGCGAGGGGGTAATGAAGGGAATAGATTGTGAGGGGAGGGGGGGGGGGGGGGGGTTATTTATAAAGTATGTGCATAAAAATCGTTCGGGTGATCTAGCGAGATAAAATGTCGGGATGAGTCGCTTGTAGATAATGCTTCGTATTGAGTGATATTTGTATGGAACTTTCGAGAATGTATCGTAATATTCGGGATCGTGCAAATGTATATTCGCAGCGGTGAATGTGGGTTTTTATGTTTTCATTATAACGATTTAAGTGTGTATGCTAGAATAAGAGATAATGCAGAAGATATATTTCATCATATTATATATAGAAAAAATTCATATACGATACATTATACGAATCATTGTCGATCAATTTCGTTGAATTTTCATTTCCGTTTAAGTGTCGTGTAATTAATTGTAAGGGTAGGTGTTTACGTGCAGTATTTATATGTTTTATGTGACCTTCATGTTCGTGTTATTTATTGTCTTTGTTTAGTTCTATGTTATCGATTTACAATATCATACTTTGGTTTAATTCGTATGTTATACACTCATCGGTATGGTTTTGTATGGTTTTTGTTGTTATCGAATTATTAACTGTTGTTTAGCAGTGCGTTCGTTTTTGTCAGTTCTTGTGAAACTTTAAACTAATCGCCTAAACCTATCCACGAAGGGTTCGTTGGTGAGTTGATATTTATATTTTGTCTATGTGCGCTTTACTTCTACACGGATCAATTGCCTTCAAATATTGAGCCATTTTGTCTGTGCGTTGGTCACGCAAAACTTTTACGCGCTTAATGCAGATTGTCCCACAAGTCCCGCGTGATTGCATTCGATTGCAACGATCGTTTACCAGAGGTGCATAACATTTTTATATATAACGACGTACGTCGCGACCAAGGTGCAGTTAGAGCGAGACGGAATGCTAATTAAGCGGGGCGTGAACGGGTCAGTATCCTGACTTGCACCCATCATGTCGCCTTCGTCCGGGGAATTAACACGGCCTCACAGAAGACCGGCGTGAAGTGTTATACATTCGCTTTTCGTCTAATGGGTGAGGTTGCCGGGGCTCACTTATTTTTAAAGCTTGTCAACCCGTCAGTTGCTGTAGGCCATGTCCTCCCTTGACAACTTTAAGGCGCGTCGAAGTTTTGTGTGCTTATCTGCACAGATTAAAAAATTTGTTGTATGTGTACACGAACTTGTTGGCCGACAGCTGTTTGCACGTTAAATATAGTACCGGATCCATTAGCGTTTCGTATGGGCCCGTTTACGTATAGTTTGAACTTTGGTCAACGTCGCGTATAGAATATTCTATGAGCGTTAAAATCGTGTCTACATAATATACGGTAGTGTTAAGCGCATTTTTTGAACGTTTTCTAGAGGTTTTTCCCTTAGTGCCCGTAACAAGCTATTCAGACTGATCCATATAGTCTCGACGATACTGATGCGCGTATTATCCGTAAGCCGCTCCGTGCAGCGCAGACAATAATTTTGGTCGGAAATGTAAACGAATTTAACCGAGTCGTCTCGTTCCGTCGACCTATCGATACATCGTAGAAATCGCTTGGATCGTAAAAATCGAATTATCGTATATCGGAATTGGAATTGCATCGACAGCAATATCGTTTCAAAGTACTACGTCAGATGAACTCGTATCAGGACTTAAAAAGACTTCTGATATTATACAAAGTTGTTTATTATGTCCGTTGTATCTCGTGTATTCGTATAACTTAGTACCTGCGAATTGTAACGAAGTTAAGCGATGAATTCGGAGCGAGGAATTCTAGAAGATTCTAGTTGTTTAATAAATTATATTAGCTTGGTACGCGGTCGCTACTCGCGGTTTTAAAGTGCAAATCACAAAGAGAAATGAAGCCAATTCACGCTTTCATAATCGATAAGGTGTTGTAATTATGTAAAGAAATAATATATATATATATATATATATGTAGTATGGTGAATTTTCGTATTAGGTATTTAGGATTTCCCTCGAACCTTCATTGTGGTTCATGATCTCCCTACGTTTACCGTTTTCTTTACTTTTTCAACGGGCAACTGATTTATTTATATGTATTGGAGTAGACCGCACCATGTACTATGTACCAAAATGGCTAATCAATTTAACGCAATCGCATGTTTCAGTACAAATCTAGTAAGGTGCTTAATCAGGCTTCTTAATTGAAAATTATAATCTTTAAAACTAGCGAATAGCCAACTCGACTAGACTAGACTATGGTGTGGTCACCCTATTTTAACATTACCAATGGGTATATTAGCGTTTGTTGTTTGTGATTGAGTGATGGGACGATTTTATTCCAGATTAATAAGAGAGTAGGCTAAATTATATTTGTAATGTATATTCGTGACGTACTTGAGATTATTAATTACTTAGGTATAGCTTAATTTATCAATAGCGACGTGTACGTTCACTGTGCGAGTGGTGCATCGCGTTTGCGCTGTGAATTGCGTCTCGTTAGTTAGCCACAGTACGACGAGCGTTACATCTGCATTAGAAACTTACGTTCCGGACGCAAAAAACTCGCAGACGAGGACAAAAACGACCTAATCCGATTGCAACAAGGTCCAAAATCGCACCGCATTTTGCGTTGTTAAAAATAAATGTGCGACGCACTACCTTCCTCAATAGCCACCAAGTCCACGTCGCTGGACACGCCTCAAGCAACGGAATGCTAAATTCCAGCTAAAACTTAGTGCTTAGCCTTACCGTATATGCGCAGATCAATGTTATTTAATACCTGAAATATTATGAATATAAACAACACAGTCGTGCCTAACGTATGTCTAAATGTCTATAAATTATATTTTTGTGTGGTACTTAGGATCGTACGTCAAGTTATATTCGAAACTGGATTTGTTAGTAGAATAGTTGTTCATCGTAGGAGACTTTGATATCGAGCGGGTGTTGTAACTTGCGCGATCTTACTCTATTTTTGATATAGAATCGGGAGACTTTTTGCGTATTGATTTTACATTGGAGCAATCGACGTATTATTATCGCGGGATTGGGTATTTTGTATTGTTTACAAGCTATTTTTGCAGTGTGTGATAGTATAAACTATGCCTATCGTAGGTACACCAGTTCTCTCAATTCAAAGCTCTTATACACTTCTCACTCGCACCGATCCCGGTATCGTTCTGATGACATCATAGGAATAGCGAATCGAAACATTCCAACACCTCCACAACATCGCGACACTACCTTTAGTTTAGGCCGCATCGTACATGTATTTATTATTATAGAATTTAAGGGATCTTTGTCTGGCACTACTTATATTATCTGGCCTTCATAATAAGTTAATAAGTTAGTGGATATAGATTCGAGTGTTACACTGTGGTATATGTAACTAACGTCGTCATCGTTAATTAATAAACTAAAGAATTATAATGACGGTTGTCGCGCTATATTTTGCAATACTAACGTCAAAGGCTCGCTGCCCGCGCGGTAATATAACGTGCAAACACGACACTTTTCAATGCGAACACTTACAGGTATTGTTTTGTTGATGAGCCTTTGACAATAGTATACTCGGTACTCGCGTAGTGTGTAAATAGAGACGTCACTACAAACACGTTTACGGGGAGTTTCTCACGTTGACTTCGCTGACACGTGAAAGCAAATAAACGGATAAGCTTGCATAGAAATAGTTCAATGATTGTGTTCACATCGCTAACGTATAGTACGAATTTTTCCCGT